AATAGAAAAAATGGTGCCAGGTACCACAACAGCAACAGAACTTTGCTGTTGTCTGGATATAGGCATTGTACAGAAATGGACAACCATATTGGTCTAGAAATATTAATTTATTTTTATTTTTTATTTTTATTTTTTCCCTGTGTGCAGGGGTAACACATCGTACTAAATATGTAAGGTCATATCTACGTGGGTTTGATTACAGAAACTAATAAAGTATTCTCTAAATAATGAGAAAAGAATAAGATAAGACTATAAGAGCGAGAAGCAATTTAAATATGTTCAGGGACCATTTTCACCTCCAGAATTAAGGATTATTTTAATGTTACTCTTTTACTTTCCTTTTTAGTTTTAATTTAGGATTCCCTATTTTTAATGTTCATACAGAGATTTCTTTAACTGAAATACCGAATAGTTTCTTTGGTGTGAAAAACTATAACAGTACACAGGATCCTAATGAGATAATTAATAATGTGAAATAGGAAGTAAAAGGCTAAAGGTGTAAGGAAAGTGGGAAGGGTGGGGGAAATGTAATAAGGGAGAGGAAAAAAATATGAGAAACTGAAAAAATGTAAATAAAGTGTTTGTAAATGGGGAGGGGAGGAGGGGTTGAAGGGAGGGCAGGGACAAGGGGAAAAATGAGAATCAAGACCTATTATGTAAAGGTACAGAATCCCAATGATGAACATAATTGTATTGTATACCTACATTGTACCAATAACCTCAATAAAAAGAAAGAAAAAAAATCATTATTTTTAGTGGCTGCATGATATAGAGTTGTATAACAAAGACATTGTAATTTATTTCAGTAGTCTAATCTTGAACTTTTGGTACTTGTTACAAATGTGTGTATCTTTGTACATATAAAAATATATTAAATATTTAAAATATATATTATATTATATTATATTATAAATTAAATTATTTCCTGACGGTAGTTTTTGTTTGTTTGGTTGCTGTTTGGTTTTTTTGAGACAGAGTAGTTCATGCTGGCCTTGAACTCCCAGCGATCTTCCTTCCTCAGCCTCCCAAGCACTGGGATTACAGTTATACACCACCATGTGCAGCCTGATGGTAAATATTAAACTGGTTTACTGTGCTGCCAAATTGTAAGAACTTCCTTAAACCTAGACATTTGCTCTCAACTTTTGTTTTTCAAACTTGATAGTAGAATTTTGTAGATTTTTAAAAACAAAATATTACATGGAAATCCACTATATAAATACACAAACATGACTGCTATAATAGGAACAGTCTGGAGCCCTTAGTACCACCCTCAGCTGTCCAAACTTTACTTTCCCATGACCTCCTCTCCTCTAATTCTGCCCCAGCTAATATAAATGATTTTTTATTCTGTTTTTCTCTAGACTTGCAATGAAACTTTAACATCTGTTTTCAGTTAAGGGTATTAGTGTCAGCAACAGGTTGTACAGAAAATCTAATTTGGCTGCTATAACAGTAAGGACAATTCAATGTCTCCACATCCAAATCCACAGGTAGAGTGGTTTCTAGATTGTTTGATTCTAGTGGCTCAGTGCTATCAACAGGGATTAGATTCTTTCTATTTTGGGGTCTGCCTTCCTCAATGTTATGACTAGTCAGACTCTCTCATATTCATGAGATAATTATAGCAACAGCAAACATTACATCCTTGCACAAGCCCTAGCAAGGGTGAAGAAGGCATACCCTTTCCTCATATTCTTGGAGAGCTAGGAAGGCTCCCAGCTGACTTCCCTCATTTTCCATTAGCCACATTGATGTCACATGCCCATGTCTTGGCCAATCACTGACAACTGGGATTATAGCATCATGACTGGATTACACCCAGAATTCACCTATTAAGAGTTGAGGAAAGGTTTAACCTTTCTTGAAACCCATGACAGACTCACATCTGAACAACAGCCAGATTCTGTCATCAAGGGAAGAGGAAGAAATGGACAGTTGTCTACCGTAGCATCTCATTAGGAATATGCTGAAAACTCAAAGTCAAAATCCCAAGGCTGCCCTTTATCCAAGGTGTAGCCTCGAGCAAGTTACTCAACTGCTCTGGATCTCTGTTTCCATATCTATAAACTGGAATTTTATAATAAGGTAAGTATAGATAAGGTAACGTACCTGCATTATGTACCTTACCGTGTTATAAAGATAAATGAGATTGAATGCATGAAATGATTTTACAAAGCACTTTACTAATATCAAAGCTTATTATTAATTTAATTCATAGAAATGAGTACCACCAGAGCTTCTGTGGAAAGGTAGAACCTAAGCACAAACTAAATTCTAAAAACTCATTTGATTTGTTACATTTACTCTAAATTTCATAACATTACTTAACAAAAAGATATCATATAGACCTTTAGAAGTAACACTATCATAATACACTAAACAGTGAAGATATATGTAAGAAAGCTGGGAAATGCAAAAGATTGCATCTGGCATTTAAAGGACAATATGAGGAGTATTAGTTGCCATTTGTCTGTTCTGTTCTTTTTTTTCCTGCCTTGTAGACAGGATTTTTACCAAATGTATTTTAAATGTCATCTTACTGGCCATTGGGAGTCAGAGCTTTGCTTATTACAATCCTATCTACAACAAAGAAACAGAGACCCATGTGCCTGCTTGCTAGCATTCCTTTCCACATGTCCCTGATCAATGAGTTTAGCAACACGCTTAGCTTCTGTGACATCTCTAGATTCTGAGTATGAGATCTACGTGCAATTTTATAGGTATATGACTGAAATAAATTAGGTAACAAACTCTTACTTTTCTGTCTTACTTAAGGCTTAAGAGTCTTCATGTTTTCCTCAGATCTTGAACAAAGTCATGAACTTGGCAATCATGGACTTTACTTCTTAGGATTCAGGTTAAGTTGATATTACCCAGAGCCAAAGACACATGGGTTTAAATAATTCACCACCACCACCCCTGCTCTTCTCTCTTACTGTCTGGAACTGGTCTTGCCTATAACCCCCCACTGGCTCACCACTGGTAAACACGCATCTCTTCCCTTAATGGTCATGACATAGGAGTTGCACACATCGCTATTATTTACATCCCATTAACTAATACTTTATCTCACTATCATATCTAACTCACTATCATATGCCCAACTAAATTAAGACCTTTCCAGACCTGATAACATTGCAGATGATAATTTTAAAAAGCTTGAGGTACATGGCTTTCATTGAGAACATGCCTGGGCTATAACTGCCCTTTCACCTTTTTATGCCATGGCCAACCACCTTGTTCATTTTGTCAATCTCATTCCCAACAAATAATTCTATTTGATGAGAAGAACCAGTGATGTTAAAAATGTAAATGAGCTTGCTACTCTCCAGGTATGAAAGCCTCAGAAAGCCAATGTTTATTATTTCAGTCATGTTGCATTACATGACATCAGCTGGGAAGTAATTTTTTAGTACCATCTAGTCATTGGATAGTGAGGAAAGTAAATAAATTCCCTCCCTGCCTGCTCATGATATAGATCAAAGTGTGTGGGTAAGCAGGGAGGTGAAATACTTAGGCTTGGGGACACATTTCAGAAAACCTTTACTAATCATTTACTCCTGCTGTGATCTAAAAGGTCCATCAGGAGCAAAGGAATTCAGTGGATGCTTTAGGTATTTCTGATGAACTGATACATAACGGAATTTTATTTATTTACTTATTTCACATAACAGAATTTTAGTTACTGAAGTTGAAAATATTTTAGCTTTCCAAAATGGTGCTACAAAGCTGGGGATATAGCACAGTGGTAGAGCACTTACCTAGCATGTGCGAGGCTGTGGGCTCAATCCTCAGCACCACTACCAAAAACAAACAAAAAACACCAACCCTCAAAAAAAAAAAAAAACTCACCTCAAAATGCTACAATTTACAAATGCATATTTTCATGTAAATGAGAAAATTCTATAGGGAGGTGTTCATGATATAAGATGTTCTGAACATTTATTTATTCTCTGAGTTCTGGATGAATTGTGTCTTCATCCTCAACAGCAGTGATGAAGGCCCTAGGGTCTGTCATGGCTCCATGCCCAGCTTGGCAGATACAGTATTATCTGACCATGGGCTCTGTTGCTTGCAATGTTGATTTGGTTCAGGTCTCCAGCCTCCCTCCGTTACTCTTGGCTTGATATGTACCCCCTTCCTGCAGGGAAAAGAGCAAAAGCTCTGGCCTTGATAAAGACTTGACCTACTGGGGGTAGCTGGTAATTAGGCAGATATGCAGGGCACCAACAGGCTCCCTTATTCTAGGCCCAAAAGACAAGAGCTTTTTAGCGCAAATTGCTTAGCCTGATTCTTAGACTCCCAGGCTGATAGGCAGTAGGTCTGTACCATGTGTGACCTGAACATGAAGGGTAACCTCCCTCCCCGCCCAGAATCTTAACTGCAAAGCAGGCACAATACGTAACAACACCCAGCCTCACAGGACTAGTCAGACATGCAGTCGCCTCTCACTGACAGCTACAGACCACCTCTCAGCCGGATGCAATGCACACTCTGGCATCCTCAGTCGCTCACACACATTTACGATCCCGACCTCAGACCTCACCGGGTGCGTGTACCCGCTTTCCTGGTCCCCAGCGGAGGGCAGCCGAGAGGCGGCGCTGGTTTCCCATCCGGCAGGTTTAGGCCGCCGCACCCGGAAGTGGCGGCTGTAGCGGGAGCGCTGAGGGGTCGGCCGGACGGACAGCGACCCAGAGCGGGGTTTGGGGGCGTTGGCCATGTTTCCCTTCAGTCCCTCAAGCCCGAGC